AATTGACCAAGTTTATATAGAGATAGGGTAAAGAAAATAACAGATAAAATGTAAAGTTTTAGTGAAAAAAAAATGTTTGAAATGTATTTAGGAGATTATAGGGATTACACAAAGGAAATTTGAGATTTTTGAGATGAAGAAAATTATTTTTAATCTTAATGTGAAAATTACTTTGGACACGCACTATTCAAAATAAATATTCAATATATATTCGTGGAAAAATTTTTTTCAGTGTATTAAAAATACTTCAATAAAAAATAGGATTTTTTGTATGTGAAAAAGTTATAAAGTTTATTGAAAGTGTGCCGAAGTTTGTGAAGATATACACACTATATTCAAAGTTAGAAATATTAAATCTATAAAGACTTTAAATGAGTACAAAAAGATCATGTGGTCAGTCAAGTTAATAGACTATTCTATTAATTCATTCACACCCTCCAAGATAGACCTAACAAAGTGTAATTGGCCTAGCAGATTATAAATGTTTATATTCTAGCTTAATTGATTGTAGTGTATTGATATATATATGTACACAAAGGACAGATACTGTTTGATTGGAAATATGCTTCATTTCTGACTTATTGGCTCTTTTTTTTTCTTAAAAGCCAAAACTTGCACTGTTAGTAAAAGGTGAAAAAAAAAATATTCAACTATAAATATAATATACTCGGATATTTACTGTTCAAATTTTGTATAGAAGTCTGAATACAAGGATTCCTTTTTAAAATCATAAAAGTGCTATCTGTTTATCAGTGCTATCATAAGGATTTAAAGCTTTGTTTTAAGTAAATTGACAAGTGTCATAGGTCTTTTCTACACTTAAATGAAATTATTAGTAATAATACTTCAAATCAGCTCACATTTTCAGTTGTTTACATCTGGTACAAAGACTCGTTTAAAAAGAGTTTAAAATTTTTGAATTAACATTCACATATCTGTGTATGTTAGTAGAAACACATGCAGCTTACTTTTTATTATTACAAGACATATATCTTAAGCTGGAAATAATATTCTCTCAAAAAAATTACACAAAATAAGTACATTAGCAAAAAATGGTAAAATTAGAAAATGGAAATGGCTATAGATAAAATGTCTCTTTACATCTCTTTTAATATCTGCACTTTATGTATGATAAAAATGAAATATTAACTCTTAAAAAATGTATCTCCACTGCACATAAATGAAAGTAACACAAAAAAACTTCTATATGTTAATTTAAGGACATTTTACCTTTAATGAGGATAGCTTCACTGTAATGTCTTTCTTTATAGCACTTTGCTTTTGCTATAATTTTGATAAAGGGTGTTGCAAAATAAATCACATTTTTTTTTTCCCGAGAGCATAACAAAGTAAAATAAGATTTTAATTCAACCAAAAACGCAATTCCAATTATCAATATCACTTGATTAGGCCACCATTGTCCTCACGCATGAGTTTTAATCAATTTACAAAAGATTTCAGCAATGCATCAAACATGTCTGTTTTTGTGGCTGTCTCCGTGAGCACATCAGTGAGAACACGAATCAAGATTTCACGTTTGTGTTTCTTGCATTCAGGCAAAGTTTTCAACTTTTTTTCTGTGCATTGTTGAATGGAAGGTCTGACATTTTCGGTGGGATTTAAATCTGGAGAGTTCCCAATCCACATTCCACCACTTTTTCACAGATCACTCTTTCAAATTCAACAATTCTGAAACTTTTGAGGCATTAATCGGATTTTTCAAATCAGGCATTTCGATTTGTTGATTGGAAGACTTGAATTCTGCATGTCTGCGACTAGTTTCTGAGCCATCCCGAAGGCAGCACATGCGACACGGACCTGAGTTCTAATGAGCACCGTGATTCAAAAGTTTTTGCAAAAAAGTTAAATTTGAAGAGTCATACACCCAAAAGTACATTGAAATGACATTTTTTCACGAGTGATGATATTCACGGACCTACCAAGTTCGTCATTACTTCAGGGAAAAAAGTGTGATTCATTTTGTAACACCCCTTATAATAGGTTCTTTGTTAGGTAGATATCCATGTTTGCATAGATTTTGATCAGATGGAACACATTTTGCAACTTCAAATTTGGTAAATCTGTTGACATATTCACTGAAGCAGATTTGTAGTGAACATTCTATTTTCCTCTTTAAATTTCTCTATGTATTTTACATTCTAGCTCATAAGTTTTTTTTTCCACTGTATTGTCTGACTATTTTGTCACAGCTTAAACACACCTTTTTTCAGTTATTTTTGGGAAAAGTAGAGTAATCCATCAGTTTTAGAAAGTGGCCGTATTAGGTAGTTTGGGAGTGAAGAGTGTTTGACTATTATTCTCAATCTCAGTTTTGTTGGTTTATATCCATCTATCCTTATATCAAAAGGAATTGACAACATGATTGATTCATTTTATTTTATCCATTCATAGCAGAATCAACCTAATGAACATTTTACCTCTTTAATATTAGTGAAATCCTCAGTTTTATTCTTTCTAATGCTTTCTTTAATTTGATGATAAGTTATACCAACAGTGCAAAGGAGTTGCCATAGGAAATAAAGCAACAGTTGTTATTGTAATAATCTTCATGTACATGGTGGAAACAGGAAAAAGAAAGGACAAATACTACCATTCTATTGTTAGAAAGATGGTATGACTATACAAAAGGCAATATACTCAATATCTGGAACTATGGTTTAAAAACTATAATCTCTCTTAAACAATTCACAAAAAAGCATCCCACTTAAAAACTGAACAAAACAGAAGCTTACCTCCTTCTGATATGATAATGATTATAGATTGACAAGCTATAAAAGCAAGAAATTTAATTTCTTATTTGACTAAAACTAAGCAATTAATGGAATTTGCTAATTGGTTAATCATCAGACTCATTAATTGGTTTTAAATAAATATTTGTTCTCGCATGAGACAGCAGGAGTAAACATCTTTGATCTTACATTTTCAGTTTTTTAGGTACAGAAATATTTTCTGATTGTGAACAAATGTGTTTTTAACTAATTTCTCCCAGTTTAATTTTCTAAAGCTGACTTATGCAGGTGAATTCAGTACACTAGCTTAATTCATCTGTAGAGTTGAAAAATTTAATTGTATTTCTGTTTGTTAAGATTTAAATCTTTAAACTTAATCTAAGAAATATTATCATCCACAAAATAATATGTACCATAACTTTAAGAAAAGAATGATTGGGATTTTGTGTAAATGTTGTATTATACCATGTGAATTAGAAGAGAAGATAATCGACATATGTTTTTGATTTCATTACTGTTTTAGGTTATACAGTGGATGGTAGAGAGAGGTCAGAAGGTTTCTGGTGAACAGCTGAAAATGGCACTAGAAGCTCTTGATGAAGCTCTGAAGAATCAGAGTTTATGTGCTGTGATAGGTCTTCAGGATCATTTTACTTGGGTGTGCTCTGCAGTGTCTGCTATATACAACTTAGTAGTTGAAAGTGAGTGATTGATTTTGTTTTAGAGAGAGAGAATACCAGTAATGAAAGAGATAGTTTGATACTTGCTATGGTTAATACCAACTTTTGCAAAGCCAGTGACATATTTCTTCTTGAAAAATAAGCTGGAATCTAAAAAATCATTAGGAAGTTTCATATAACAAGATCTATCCTAAACCTTGTTAAAACTAAATGTATGTTTTATGCAGCTTTTAAACTTAAATTTAAGAATATGCAACTCAAGGGAAACAAATTCTAATGTTAAAAAAGGTGAAATCAATTAATCAAAATTGAAAACTATTATTTTAAAATATTTGCAGGATTATGAATATGATAAAAATAAGCTTAATACTGTGTATTGAATCAAATACTGGCCACATGTTATTTTTAGGTTAACATAATTTTCTTAAATAGTATCATGTAGGTCCACATTTTAACAGGAGGATTGGCAAGATGAATATGAAGTGATGCTGAGTTTCTGACCTGACTGAGTTTTAAGTGAAGAAATAAATATTGACCCTTCAGCCATGCCTGGCTAACATTACAGAAGTTACAATGATGTGGCACACGTGCACTTATGTTACTGTATCCAATAATATAAAACTGACCTTTAGTCTTTACTAAGTGGCCTGTCTTGGCTGTGTTTTAGTAGACTAGTATTTTGTAAAATAGTCAAATATCAATTATTATACATTATATATGTATATAGATTATTGCTATTTTGAAATAAGTTCTTTAACATATTTCCTAAAACATAGAAAAGTAAATAAAGAAGTAAAGCAAACAATTATCTCTTTTAGTTACGACCTTTGTACTCTGTTGCTGCTTTACGTAGGTTGCTAAGCCTTTAAAAATTTTGCACATGGAGGATATGAAATAAAATAATTTCTTTTAGGTTTTATATATACATTTGAATAACTAAAAAATCATAAATTACTACATTAATACCATAGAATTCCACTATAATTTATAAAGCTTAGTAACTAAAATGTATTTTAGTCTAAAAAAATATGGAATTTCGAGCAGGCTAAAGACACACCCCTACCTCATTGAAATATTGATTCAAAAGAAAGAAATGGTGCCAAGTCCATTAAAATGGCCAAGAAAGCCACTAGGGAGACATTCTAAGCTTCTGATTGGTTATTCATGTCGTTTATAGAAGTAAGTGTATATAAGGGAGCTTTTCCAAAAATGGAAAGAGGTGGGCAGGGTGCCACTGTGTTTGAGGCTCTTATTTTATATTCTAGCTTGTCAATATAGATAATTTGAGTTTCGAAATTGGTCAAAACTATAGACTTAGTATTTTGACTTCACAAACATCTAATTTGAACCAGTGCTGCATTCAACATACCACGTGACATACAAAAATCGATGTTTATCTGTGTTGTTTTAATATTTACTTTTAAATTAAGAAATTGAGTAATGTATAATACCAATATTTGAATTATAATCTACAGTTTGATACCAAATTTATTGACATAAATTCATGAAATAGTAGATCAATAAAATTTTGAATGTGAGTCAACAAATGAGATGACATGGCCTTTCACCTGTGACATGTCTCGAAAGGGTTAATGAACATGTGTTTATCAGCATCACAGTATGGCTGCGTGTGTTGGATAAAGTTAAGCAGTCTTTCCTTATATAATATATATAGTTATCCAAATATATAATAAAAATCAAAGACTAACAAAATCAAGCTTGTATAGTATTTTACTTCATTATTTCATGTTTTTGTAATTTTTTTGTTCCAGTACAACATGAAGAGATTGTTCCAACCACGTGTATTCTACCTAAGAATGTTGACCTCTCTCCAGGTCAGTTTGAAAAAAAAATTTATATTTGTGTTATGTATTTATGTAACATTACATTTTGTACATGTAAGTCCACAGTTATAGTGATTTAATGCTGTTACAGTTGTGGTTATTCTTAAAATTGACCCGATGATTGCTTTAAACCCAGATTACACTCAAATTAGTAACATAAAACTCAATATTTAGAAAATTTTCACATCCTAAGATTATTAGGTGTTTTTTTTTGTTTAAGAAGCTAGAAATTTAGTTTTAAAAAATTGTTTTATTTAAGTGTTAAAAAATTATATATATTTTATTACTTATGCTACTACAGGTTTGAACAGTCAACTCTAATTGTGTAATGGCTCTGTTAAATGAGGATAACCATTTAGTTTTGCTTGGAAAAGTATATGTTCAACACCACTGTTATTATAAAAACAGTTGAGATTAAGTTAAAAAGTATAACAGCCATTATAATTAAAGTTTTGTTTTTTGTCAGAAAAAACTGGAACTGAATTTGTTTTTTAATATGATAAGCAACACATTTTTAAATATGTATCAATGCATTTGAAACACTGGAAAGACCACTGAACTTCCATAATTTGTCTACAAGTTACCTATGGTTTATACTTTATATTTTTAAACATTGTTTTATCAATCTATCCGTGAATTGTAATGTGTCTTTTAGCAGACATCTGGCACACAAACGATTTAAATTTATGATCAATAAGAAATATTCATAAAAGTTATTTAAGTTTTTTACACTTCTCAGAATATTTGATTTTAATAGTTTAAGACTAAAGTGTAATATGCAAAGTGACTATTCTACTACTTGCAGTACTTGTGTACTCTGGATGCAAGCACACTAGGTGACTATAGTTAGCAGTACTTGTGTACTCTGGATACAAGTACACTGGGTGATTCTAGCTAGCAATACTTGTGTACTCTGGATATAAGTACACTGGGTGACTATAGCTAGCAGTACTTGTGTACTCTGGATATAAGTACACTGGGTGATTCTAGCTAGCAATACTTGTTTACTCTGGATACAAGTACACTGGGTGACTACAACTAGCAGTACTTATGTACTCTGGATGCAAGCACACTGGGTGACTATTCTGCTATTTGCAGTACTTATGTACTCTGGATGCAAGCAC